CAGTAAGGGAAGCTGTATTTAGGTTTGGAGAGGAAGCAAACCCCTTGGATCTGTAAGCGGAGCCTGCATGTATGTTGAAGATCAGACAGCAAGACAGGTGGGCACGACCTGCACTTTTCCTCCACATGTGGAACCCTACTTCCTGCAGGAGGAAGGCAGCTTTAGAGTCCTGCAACTGCCAGCAAAGGTGGGCTAAACAGAGGTTGGGGTGCCGCCATTTTGGGTAAAATAGAGGGTGAGCCACGTGAGTGCCCCACCATGGAAAATAGGTCATGCATGGGCATGGATGTCTTGGACGACCCAGCATGCTTGGACCTGGGTCCACTGTCTTGGAAACCCTAGGGTTCTAGGGTATTTCTATCTTGGATGACCAGGCATGCATAGGCACCACCATCTTAGATGACCCCTAGTGCATGGGCACCACCATTTTGGAAGACTGGTGTGCTTGGAGGCTGCCACCTAGGAACTGAGTAAAGTAGTAGACAAAGGGTTCTTTTCAGATTATGAGCTCCATGCTGCTGCTGTGTGGGCACTGCATCAGTCAGGTTCTCTGCATAACTGTTTCTGATAGAAATGGCTCTGGTTCTGAAAGTCACAAACTGGGGTCCAAGGGTGCACATGTGATTTATATGGTGTTTGCAAGGTCTAAGCTTCAAAAAGCTGCTGGATGTTCCTGTGAATCTAGGGACTTTTGGTGGAAGGTACCTGTAGTGCTAGAGGCTTTTGATACCACTGACTGAGTTCAAGTCCTGAGTTTAGTCCTTCCCGTGTGGGAGAGGAACTGTTACAGAAAACAACTCAGCCACTTTTGGGTGTACAGAGTGGAACTTTATTTTATGCATGTGCCCTCGAGAAATCAGTCTCCAAATTCTGGGCCCTGAGCAGCGTGGAAGCTGTTATTTTTATAGAGTAAGAAAGGGCCCATCCTTTGGACCATTATTTCTGGTGAGAAAGCATGAGGCCGCTTATAGAAGCAGAAGAAGCAGAGCATTATCTCTGGCAAGCAGAGCATTTATCTCTGGCAAGCAGAGCATTTATATCTGGCACGCAGATGATAAAGCAGTTTTAAAAAGGCTAGAAGAGAAACAAGTCACTGGGCTGTAAAAACGCATCACTCTCTAGTTACGGTGTAGTGTCTTAAAATACTATCAATTTCCCCCAACATTGCCCCCTTTGATGCTTCACAGCACTGTTAGCTGGTCTAGAATCACTATAAGGATGGCCTATAAATCTCAGGGTAACTTCTGTCTCTGGAGGGACAGGATCTTGGCGCTTGTCTTGTGAGTCACTGTGGCCTCTAGACTCTGGACTATGGTCTGCAGTATACAGGGGATAAAACTCAGGCCTAAGAAAATGATGATTAAGGGTCTCAACAAGGGGAGCAACCACTGGAGCCAGGCTTGAGGGTTTATTCCCTAGTTCTCTAATTCTAACTTTCTGTTTCTTTGGTGTGGTGGTTTATATTCTCTCTGATTTCTTTAACTTTCTTTGCTATGATCTCTGACTGATTTACATAGTAGCAACATTTCTCTCCTAGGAATGTACAGGTCCTCCCCTTTCCCTGGATTCAGAGCATTAATGAGTTTTCTTTTCTCATTATTTTTCTTCTCCTGTAATTTACTATTAAAGAGGGGTTCTAAAATTCCTTTCTCCTTCTGGAATCATATTAAGGGCAATGGATGAAGGTCTCATCTTCTTGTAACTACTTCCCACTGGACATGGACATCGCCCTACCTATCCTTGGATCAGGGGTACCCTGAAAGAGGAGGGGGGTTCATTGTGGAGAAAGTTATTCCTGCAAGGAGAAGGAACTTAAAAGGTCCGGGTCAGTTAGCTGTCATCAGGAAGTCACAGGCTTGGTGTGCAAAGGCTGGCATTACTGGACTGTTGGCCTTCTGGTCAGGTCATATTCTGAAGGTGACAGATTAGGCAAGAAATTGGAAGCACAATTAAATTATAACTATTAAATGACAAAGGCAGAGATTTCAGTAAAGAATAGCTTATCTTGAGGAAGGTGTACAAGGCATGCTACATCTATCCAGGACTCTTGTGGCCCACTATACTTCACTCAGGCTGAGGGGAATACTTTAGAATTTCCCTCCTTTCAGATTTCTGAGCCCTTTCTGTCTGAGCTATCAAGACAGAAAAGGGAAAATCAGTTCTAAAGTGAAGCCCACAGACCTCCCCAACCCTTTATCAACCTAACTATTTAGCTCAATCAAACTGTTGAGTCTCAGGGGGGCAATGACGAAGATGGGCTCCTTAAGTGAGGACTATATTGTAACTAATCATCCATAGGCATAAGCAGGTCATAAGCATATGCCCTATGAAAACAGAAGAACACACAGGTTAATTCACACAATAATCCCCAAACCAGTCTCTGAGCCTGTGAGACTGTCTTTTGGGATGACATTCCATTGCAAGGTCCTTCCTGCAATGACATTTAACAGGGGCAATTTGACAGGTCCTTTGCACCTGTAAATTGTACATCTTCAGTGACATTACAAACCTGGTTTCAATTCTTAAATGAAAATAAACTTTTAAGACAGTTAGCTGCGCCATTCTGATATCCAATACTGAGCATAGTGATTTTCCTTGAACCCTAATTTTTCTCCTTAAGATCACCCTTACTGGTTTGTGTTTTGGTTCGCGAAGGATCCCGGGGCTGGCCTGAGGAGAGGAGGCAGTGGAGGAGGCGGCGGAAGAATTAGTGGGAGCTCTAGCGCCAGGGGCGGGGGCAGAGGAGGAGAAAGAAAAAAGGAAGGCGGAGCGGAGAGGCAGAGACCCAGCCCAAGGGGGCGGCACCACGGAGCTAGCCCCCCACCCCCCAGTCTGAGGGGAGCGGCGTGAGAAGGAGACGCCCCGCCGCCAAAGCTACAGCCTTTGCTCGGACTAGGCCTGGGACCTGCTCCCCGGAACCTTCAGCCCTGTGGCTCTGTGTGCTGCAGTCTAAGGTTTCTTTACCTCCAGAAAGAAAAATGGACACCTTGCATCCTGGAAGTTCATTTCAGAGACTGAAATTAGGGACTTCTTTAAAAAGTGGACATGGCTAATCGAGGAGCAACAAGGCCCAACGGGCCAAATACTGGAAATAAAATATGCCAGTTCAAACTAGTACTTCTGGGATAGTCTGCTGTTGGCAAATCAAGCCTAGTGCTTCGTTTTGTGAAAGGCCAATTTCATGAATGTCAAGAGAGTACCATCGGGGCTGCTTTTTTAACCCAAACTGTGTGTCTTGATGACACAACAGTAAAGTTTGAAATATGGGATACAGCTGGTCAAGAGCGATACCATAGCCTAGCACCAATGTACTACAGAGGAGCACAAGCAGCCATAGTTGTATATGATATCGCAAACGAGGAATCCTTTGCCAGAGCCAAAAATTGGGTTAAAGAACTTCAGAGGCAAGCCAGTCCTAACATTGTAATAGCTTTATCTGGAAACAAGACTGACCTTACAAATAAAAGAGCTGTTGATTTCCAGGAAGCACAGTCTTATGCAGATGACAACAGTTTATTGTTCATGGAGACATCAGCTAAAACATCAATGAATGTAAATGAAATATTCATGGCAATAGCTAAGAAGTTGCCAAGGAATGAACCACAGAATCCAGGAGCAAATTCTGCCTGGGGAAGAGGAGTAGACCTTACTGAACCCACGCAGCCAACCAGGAGTCAGTGTTGTAGTAACTAAACCTCCAGTTTGAACCAGCTGGAATATTCTTCTGCTTCTTAAATATTAACGGTGGAATTGGAGCATTTAACAAGCTCAGTATGACTTCCAAAAGAAGAGACTTATAATAGAGTCAAGTTTCTAATACAGAATTATTTTAAGTGTTTTGAACTTAATTTTTAATAACATGCATGCGACCCTCTGACTAATGTTTCAGCAGCAGAAGGGGGAAATGAGAGCTGTGTGTACACTTGTTTCCTTGGAAGGTTAGGGGTAATCATTTCTCGCCACCAGGGATATATATAGACAAACGACTATCTGAACCTACAGTTACCCAGCCAGACCTATGAAAAAGATTTTAAATTTAATTTGAGCTTTTCAGAAATATTCTTTTTTAGAAGAAGGTTCTAAAGATATTTGTGCTTAGCTATGGTATACAGGCAACTGGTAATTTCTCATAGTATCCGTATTTAAAGTGTACATTCCACATTTTAGAAAATTAGCCACAAGAAAACAATTCCACATCTTCAGGACAGGGAGAGAAGTGAGCATTAGTGGCATTGAAATTGTGGACAGTCCTGTTATTTTAAGTGGGGTGTAAAAAAATCAAATGTTAACCCCATCTTGTTTTAGGAATATGAAAACTGATAAATGCATTTTAATGGGTAGTGTTTCCTTCAAACATGTGAGCTCTTCAACAAAAGTGGAACAAACCAGGTGTCTGTAATTTCTGTTTAATCACTGCAGGCCATTATATAGGTTTAGTTGTTTGGGGGTATGGAAGGGGCTTTTGTTCCCTTTGGACATGATATAGTCAATGCACTAACAATTATGTACATTCAAACTTGATTATTTTAAATTCAAGCTGTACTGTAAATAGGGTACTGCATTGTAGTCTCCATCTGTTTACTGCTTTTCTGTAATATTTAAGAATTGCTTAAAAGTATACAAAATGTACAGTTACTAAAACAGCTAATTTTTCCCTTCTCACCCCCTTTCAGTGGAAGGGGCTTCAGTTCCTACATGGCTAGAACCATGATAAACAATGTACCAGTAATTTGTAGCATAAGTATTGCAATATGTTAGTAACAATCTTGCAGCCTTGTTTTCCAAAGTTCATTTTATCTGGATCAGTTCGGTATATTGCACTAATTGTTTTTGGTATTTTCATTATATGAAATCTACCATGTGTCAGAGATGATTTAATCTAAGTGTTGAACTGCTAGCAGAACTTGTATATTTACAGCAATTCAGAATTAGTAAGGAAAATGGTTCGCCAGTGTTTAGTTTTATATTGAGGTGCCTAGGTTGGAATAAAGTGGTATAAAAAGCAAGTATTGGTATTTCCCTCTTTTTTGGCATGGAACAGTGAACATATATAAATGGTATTGTATAACTTAAAATCTTCTTTTATATTTTCATAACCACATTCTTAAAAATGATTTGTGTGGTACTGATGTATTATTATCCTAATATCTGGTTCATTGAATAAATTGTCGTTATATTTTTGTATTCTGGATAATCAGAACTTTTATCTTTTACCTTCAGAAACTGATACTCACTTCCACTGAGAAGTATGACCATAACTGTAATGTTGTCTCTGGAGCCAGCCATTAAAGCAGCATTTACAAGTTCATGGCTGATATACTTAGCTGCATCTTCATAGAAACTATCAGTGCTTATTTTTTCTTCTTCACTTGAATCTTTTGGCACACTGTCTACATGTCTGTCAGTTTCTTCCTCCCTGCAAAGATCACGATTAGTCATTTCTGGTAGAATTTGTGCATTTCTAGGAGCACGAGTAAAAAATTGAGAATATTTTGAATCAGTCATATGTTCTTCGGAGTTTTTACTTGACACACATTCTTCAGATTTACATTGAAACAATACGTGGATATCACTGTCTGATTTGGAAATACTTGGTTTATTGATTGGGGAAAACAGAGGAACTTTGGATGGTGAAGATTTGTTTTGGATGATGGAGTGGTGTGTTTCTTTATACGCTTGAAACATTGTTATTGCCAGTGTGGTGACTTCCTTGTTATCCAGAACTTCCCAGAGTCCATTAGTAGCTACAATAAGGAACTGACATAAATTATCTATAGTGACAGAAATAGTTTGATGTGCTGGAATAATGAACTTTTTCAGTTTGGGATTTCCATGAAATCCAAGTCCTCTTGTAGTTTTTATTTGCCCTTCTAGGAGCCCATATGGTTCATTTGAACTATTGCTCAAATGAACTATCGTTCAAATTAACTATCAATTCATTTGAATTGTCGCTCCATTCTCAAGTACTCTTCTTTCATCGTCTGTGTTTCACATAGTGTGTTCTTTGGTTAGGCGAAACCCTTGCCCATTTCTGCATAAGACTGCTTGCACATTACCTAAAAGATTATTAGAAAAAAATTGATCCTAGAGATTTAATAACCACAATTGTATCAAAGTATGCTGCTAACTTTATTCTATGTTTCATTGCATAAACAAGTATGTGTAATATTGATATCATTAATTGGATAATAGATAGTAATTCAGGCTGGGAAGCCAGTTTATTCCTTATTTTAAAGCAATTCGGTGTTTAAAGTACTGCATTTAATATTAAAATAACAAATTATAGATACTGAAAAGTCAAATTTGTTTATGAAACCACTTCCAAATGTTACTTATTTTGTAGAGCCAAGAGTTTAACTTTTTTATAACCAACATATATTCCATAGAGCAGACATTTTTTTAAAAAATATTTTCTTTATTTATTTTTCGAGAGAGGGGAAGGGAAGGAGAAAGAGTGGGAGAGAAACATCAATGTGTGGTTGCCTCTCATGCGTCCCCTGCCGGGAACTGGCCTGCAACCCAGGCATGTGCCCTGACTGGGAATCGAACCGCGATACTCTGGTTCGCAGGCCCGCGCTCAATCCACTGAGCTACGCCAGCCAGGGCGAGCAGACATTTTTTAATGTTTAAGTAAATACCTTTTCATTTAAAATCATAAACCTTAAATTTTTAAGTGAAATTTGGTGATTTTATAACTGGTAAAAATAAAAACTAAACGTGTATGGGTGATGAAAAAATTAAAATACCGCTGTTAATGTCAGTCTTGCGAGGTTCCTGATGTGTATGGCTAAAAAGAAATCAAGTCACCCCTGTGAAGAAAAAACTATGTATTATTAATGTATTAAATGGTTAATAGTTATCCAACATGAAATTAAACCTTTGATTGAAAACTGAAATCATAAAAGTTGATTATAGTTAATGTTTCGGATGAACCTGTTATGTATGCTTCATTGAAATCTTAAGAAAATAAACAATGCTCTGATCAGAAAAAAAAAAAGATCACCATTACTGTTATTACAGGAACTACTTTGGGTTCCGATTCTGATTTTGACTGTTCATTTGCATAAATACACCAAGAGCAGCCTGGATCACCTATGATCCTTAAGTCCACTTTACTGGAACTCACACCGGGAACCTTCAGATTGACTTCTCAGTCTGCCCCTCAGGGCACAGAAGCAGAGCCACATATCTGCCATCTGGCTTCACCTGTACCAATCCTGTTTCACTCAAATCCTTGAGCCTCCATTGTGCCTACAGGTTCCTTTCTAGCCATCTTTCAGGAAGGCAACCTTCGTTCCTTCCCTGGAAAGGCTGGCTGGAACCGCATAACCAACCAAAGTACCAGGCTTTTCTCGTGGGCTTTCGCTAGCTTCACAGGTCAATCCCAGTTCCTCTGAGCTTTCTGGTAATGACCAGAACCCATACATGCCTCCTTCAGGCATGACATTCCAAAGTCCTCATTAACAAAACCACTATTAATGACTGGCCTCATTGATTTTATGCAAAGAAACCTTATGTCATCATTCATTCCTTCAGAATGCCAAATTCTGGAGAAATCAGGTAGGGAGAAAAACACAAAGCTTGAAGGAAAATCTTTCTCCTTCTAATATCCATCAAGATGCATCTCCATGCCTTATACCTTCTATTATTAACACCACATAATTTCTTTCCAAAACTTTCACGTTTCCATTTATTTTTATAACTTCCCACAGACTTTCTGCAATATTCAAAAACCTTCTATAGCCTTTTTACTAATCCATATTTATCCATAGTTCATTTTTAATCCCTGTTCCTTTCCCACACTGGGAAGGACTGTGGTTAAACTCAGTATCGGGCAGCTAAAAGTCCCTAGCACTATAGGCATTTTCTACTAAAAGTCCCTAAATTCACAAGGACATTTTTCACCTTTCTGAAGCTTAGACCTTGCAAACACCCTATAAATCAGATGGTCAGCCTTGGACCTCAGTTCATGACCTTCAAAACTAGAGCTATTCCTATCAGAACCAGTTAGACAGAGAACCTGACTGCTGCAGTGTCCACACAGCAGCAGCATACAGCTCGTAATCTGTAAAGGAGCCTTAGACAGTTCCAAGATGGTGACACCCATGAATGCTCTGTCCTCAGTGGTGGGGCATTCACGTGGCTCATCCATTTTACCCAAAATGGCAGCACTCCGACTCTGGTTCCCCCCACCTGCATTGGTTGCCCCGAGGCTCTGGTTCCAGTCTCTAGAGCTAAGGAGACGCCAGAGGCCCCCAAGGCCCCTGGTTGCAGCAGGTGAGCAGAGCCCACTTCCAGAGGCTGCAAATCCATGGTGGAGACTTCTCCCACTTGCAGGGTGGGAAAAGTCATAGTGGGTCTCCCCTCCCTAGAAGGCAACGTCACCACAGGAGTTCCTGCTATCTGGGGTACATCCCCCTTATCTATTCTGAGGATGGGAGGAGGTCTCCCAAAGACTAACTCATACGAGGTATAGCCTGAAGGGTTAGGGGTATTCCTAACCCTAAGTAGTGCCAGCAGCAGCAAATCAGTCCAAGGGAGTCCAGTGTATGGAACTCTCCTGGTGGAACTTAGCTAGAGTTTCCTTGAGAGTCCAGTTCATGCGCTCTACTTTTCCCGAGCTCTGGGGTCAGTATGCAGTGTGCCCACTCTGTTTCAATTTGTGCCCCTTCTTTAAGGACACCCAGTACCCTGTCTTGGTTAGCAGTTTGAACAGCTGGCAAGGACCCTTCTAGCACCCATCTCGGGTTGGTTCAGCTGAAAGGAGGTCATCTACACACCACAATAACACTGGGTCAGTCTCCTTCTCAGTGAAATATTTTAGATCTCTGGCCGGGCCTTCTCCGAGAGGAGTGAGAGAGTTTCTGAAGCCCTGTGGCAGTCTGGTCTGGGTCTAAGCCAGCTAGACTGATGACTATAGACACCTGTAACCCTGGTCTTTGTTGCCTGCAAGTGGACTTTTCCTTTTTCCATTTCAGAAAAGATACAGAGCAAAATCCAAAATACAGAGTTCCAAAACAATACACAGGTAGAGGCATTCTCTTGCACCA